GTCGTTACCATACACCAGATCTGCTGGTGTTTTAATCCTGGACTTCCCAGCCTCCAGAACTCTGAGAAATAAATGTCTCCTGTTTATCAGCCACCCCGTCTGTGGTATTTGTTACAGTAGTCCAGAGTAAGGCAGTTATCTCGTCCTGTGTCATTGGGGCTGGTGTTGTGGGGACCCTCTGCCGCCACCAGCAGGGATGCTACAGGACAGTGGCATTGCTCCAAGAGTAGGGGCCAAGCGCGGTGGCTCACAGCTGTAATCCCAGCACTTTGAGAGGCCAAGGCGCTTGGATCACGAGGTCAGAAGATGGAGACCATCCTGGCTAATGTGGTGAAAAACCATTGCTACTAAAAATACAAAAAATTAGCCGGGCGTGGTGGCACGTACCTGTAGTCCCAGTTCAGGAGGCTGAGGCAGGAGAATCTCTTGAACCCAGGAGGCGGAGGTTGCAGTGAGCCAAGATCGTGCCACTTCACTCCAGCCTGGGCAACAGAGCAAGACTCCATCTCAAAAAAAAAAAAAAAAAAAAAAAAAGGCAGGACAGAGACTGCGTGAGGCAAGTGAGATGCTTACCGTGGCACCAGGTGGTTCCTTCTTGAGACAAAGGAACCAAAAATTGGGTTGGGCAGGAATCAACAAGTTACTGAGATTTTTTTTGTGAAACTGATGGAAAACTACAAGTATTCCAAAAGTTGAGTCGACTTCTGTTCATCACAGAACACAATCGACAGAGAGAAAAGGCAACCCATGGAATGGGAGAAAATACTGACCAATCATATATTTGATTAGAGGTTGCTACCCAGAATGTATAAAGAACTCCTACAGCTCAACAACAAGAACACAAACAACCCAACTTAAAAACAGGCAAAGGACTTGTTAGATATTTCTCCAAAGAATATATACAAATGGCCAGTAAGCAAATGAAAAGGTGCACAACAGCACTAATGGTGAGGCAAATGCAAATTGAAACCACAATGAGATACCACCTGGCACCTACTGCAATGACTATGATTTTTTGAAAACCCAAAAAATAAGTGTTGATGAGGATGTAGAGAAATTGGAAGCCTTGTACACTGTTGGTGGACTATAAAATGGTACAGCTGCTATGGAAAACATTATGATATTTCTTAAAACATTAAACAGAGAATTAGCACATGATCCAGCAATTCCACTTCTGGGAATTTGCCCGAAGAATTGAAAGTAGGGACTCAAATAGATATTTGCACTCCCATGTTTATAGCAGCATTACTTACAGCAGCCAAGAGGCGAAAGCAACCCAGTTGTCCATCTAAAGAAGAATGGATCAACAGAATATGGTAGATGCATCTGATAGAACATTATTTGGCCTTAAAAAGGAAGGAAATCCCAACACGTGCTACAAAATGGCTAAACCTTGAAGACATGCTGAGTGAAATAGGCCGACCAGAAAAGGATAAATAGTGCATGATTCCACTTGCGTGAGGTACCTGGAGTAGTGAATCCACAGAGAGAGAAAGTAGAATGGTGGTTGTGGGGGGCGTGTTGGAGAGGGAATGGGGATTTGTTTAGTGGGGACAGAGTTTGAGTTTGGAAAGATGAAAAAGCTGCAGAGTTGGATGGTGGTGAATGGTACACAGCGAGATGAATGTGTTTAATACCACTGAAATGCATGACAACAAATGGTGAAGATGGTAAAGTTTATGTTGTGTGTATTTTACCAGACTTTAAAAATTAGGGTCTAGTTTTTTTAGCTTTGGATGAACCTTTGAAAAAAAAATTTAGGATCTAGTTTCTACAAATCTATTCTTTTGTTGCCCAGGCTGGAGTGCAGTGGCGCGATCTCAGCTCATTGCAACCTCTGCGTCCTGGATTCAAACAATTCTCCTGTCTCAGCCTCCCAAGTAGCTGGGATCATAGGCAGTCGCCACCACACCCGATTAATTTTTATATTTTTAGTAGAGGTGGAGTTTCACCATGTTGACCAGGATGGTCTCCATCTCCTGACCTCGTGATCCACCTGCCTCGGCCTCCCAAAGTGCTAGGATTATAGGTGTGAGCCACCACTCCCAGCCCCAACTAATTTTTATATTTTTAGTAGAGACAGAGTTTTACCATGTTGGCCAGGCAGTCCCGAACTTCTGACTTCAGATGATCCTCCCACCTCAGCCTCCCAGAGTGCTGGAATTACAGGCATGAGCCACTGAGCCCAGCCTACAAATCTGTTCTTTAATGAAAATAATAGCAACACCAATAACACCAGCAATAGCATTGGGACTTTGTATTTTTACCTCTCTAACTTCATTCGATCCTCACTGGGGCCCAGGAACCTGAGGCCCAGAGAGGTCACGTGGCTTGTCCTGGGTCACCCCATGGCAGTTAGGACTCTGAGTAGTCTCACTCTGACCCCTGAGCTGTACCTTCTCCTCCTCCCAACAACAGGCTCATCACATCCAAGGATACTGGCCTTGGTGTGCCCACTGTGAGTTCTCAGGCTTGACACATGCCAGCCTCTTCCCAGCCCTCTGCCCTGTGCTGCCTGCAGGCTCAGCCTTCCCACACTCCCTTCCCTTTGATAATATCTGAAGGTCACAGACCCATCCCATTCGTACTTCTGCAAGAGAATCGTGGGGGCATCCCTCTCTTTTTGTTGTATAAGCTCTTTCTACTCAGAGACAGGCTGACAGACCATAAATAAGGGGGGCAGGCCAGCTTTTAAGTGCTCCAAAGAGATTTGTGAAAAATTACCGTGGCCTCATTTGCAAAGCTCTGCAGTGTCGTTCCCAGTGACCCGAACACTGAGGGGTACTCTTGAAATAAATCTGTCAGCCGCCTGCACACCCAGATGTCAAGGTCAGGGAACTAATCAGGAGGTTTTCAGAATTTTTCTAAGAATTAATCACAAACTCAGTGAAATAACTGACGGAAAAGATTTATTTGGATGTCTATTCCCTGGGGTCAGTGAAGGGTTATTTTATGTGATAAATCATGATTTCCAGCCAAGTTGATCTCCCCTCCCTTTCCCTGGATGATCCTTCAAACTGTAGAAAATATCTTGCCATTTACGATAGCTACTTTAATCTTAATGCCTGCCCTAGAGATGTGATCATATGAAATAATTCCTTGCATGCTTTTGAGATGTGGGAGAGTAAACTGTTGTTTTAGGAGAGCTGGGCTCCTGTCCAGTTGATAACAGCAAAGGGAAACAGTTGAAGCCGAAAGGATATAGATCAAAGGGTACAAAATTTCAGTTAAATTGGAGTAAGTTTCAGTGATCTGTTTCACAGAATGATGACGATAATAAACAAATAATGCATCACATATTTCAAAATTGCTTAAAAGTAGATTTTAAATGTTTTCACCACAAAAAAAGATAAATATATCGGCCAAAAAAAAAAAAAAAAAAAAAAAAGCTCATCATCACTGGCCATTAGAGAAATGCAAATCAAAACCACAGTGAGATATCATTTCACACCAGTTAGAATGGCAATTATTAAAAAGTCAGGAGACAACAGATGCTAGAGAGGATGTGGAGAAAGAGTAACACTTTTACATTGCTGGTGGGAGTATAAATTAGTTCAACCATTGTGGAAGACAGTGTAGTGATTCCTCAAGGATCTAGAACTAGAAATACCATTTGACCCAGCAATCCCATTACTGGGTATATACCCAAAGGATTATAATTCATTCTACTACAAAGACACATGCCCATGTATGTTTATTATAGTACTATTTACAATAGTAAAGACTTGGAACGAACCCAAATGCCCATCGATAATAGACTGGATAAGGAAAATATGGCACATATACATGATGGAATACTATGCAGCCATAAAAAAAGGATGAGTTCATGTCCTTTGCAGGGACATGGATGAAACTGGAAGCCATCATTCTCAGCAAACTAACACAGGAACAGAAAACCAAATACCACATGTTCTCACTCGTAAGTGAGAGTTGAACAGTGAGAACACGTGGACACAGGGAGGGGAACATCACGCACCAGGACCTGTCAGAGGGTGGGGGTAAGGGGAGGGAGAGCATTAGTACAAATACCTAATGCATGTGGGGCTTAAATCTTAGATGATGGGTTGACAGGTGCAGCAAACCACCATGGCACATATATACCTATGTAACAAACCTGCACGTTCTGTGCATGTATCCCAGAACTTAAAGTAAAATAAAAATAAAAATTAAAAAGTGAGGAGATTTGTGAATTAGGTTGATTCAGTCATTCTGCAGTGTAAACATTACCAAGACATCACATTGTACCCCATAATATGTAATACAGAATTATTATTTCTCAATTAAAAACAAAATTAAAGAAACTAGATAAAGAGCAGCATAATCAACCCAAAGCAAGAAGGTGGCAGGAAGTCGTAAATGTAAGAGCAGAAATCAATTAAATGGACAACAGGAAATCAGTGGAGAAAAACCAATGAAACAAGAGCTGATACTCTGACAGCATCAACAACATTGACAAAACTCTAGCAAGAAAAAAAGTTAGAAGACACAAATTGCCAATATCTGGGAAGAAACTACAGACCCAACAGACATCAAAAGGATAATAAGGAAATAATAGGAACAACTTTACACAAATGAACTTCACAACTTAAATGAAATTGATCCATTTCTTGGAAAATGCAAACTATCATAATTCATACAATATGAAATAGAGAATTTGAATAATTATTGAGGAAATTGAATTTATAATTTTAAAACTTCTAAAATCTCCAGGTCCAGATGGTTTCACTGGAGAATTCTGTTAAGCATTTATAGAATTAACATCATTTCTATACAATTTCTTTGAGAAAATAGAAGGAACATTGCCCAACTGATTTTTATGAAGGTAGTATTGTCATGCTACCAAAAACCAGACAAAGACAGTATAGAAAAATAAAACTACAGGCTGGGCACAGCAGCTGATGCCTTAATACCAGCACTTTGGGAGGCTGAGGCGGGTGGATCACAAGATCAAGAGATTGAGACCATTCTGGCCAACATGGTAAAACCCCGTCTCCACTAAAAATACAAAAATCAGCTGGGCATGGTGGTGTGTGTCTATAGTCCCAGCCACTCGGGAGGCTGAGGCAGGAGAATCCTTTCAACCCAGGAAGAGGAAGTTACAGCGAGCTAAGATTGTGCCACTGCACTCCAGCCTGGTGACTGAGTGAGATGAAAGAAATAAAAAGAAAGAGAAGGAAGGAAGGAAGGAAGGAAGGAAGGAAGGAAGGCAGGCAGGCAGGCAGGCAGGCAGGCTGGCTACAGATGACTATCCAACAAAATAATAACAAATAGAATTCAACATATCTGAAAGGAATTACGCATCATTGCCAAGAGGGAGTTGTTCCAGGGATTCAAGTCTGGTTCAATATTCAAAAATCAGTCAATGAATTCTACCATATCAACAGGCTAAAGAAGAGAAACCACATGGTTATATCAAGTGATGCAGAAAAAGCATTTGACAAAATCGGCACCTTTCCTAACTAAAAAGAAAACTTAGAAAAACAGGCATAGAGAATGGTCTCAACTTGAGAAAGAGCATCTACAAAAGACCTACAGCTAACAGACTTAATGGACAGTGAATGCTTTTCCCCTACAATCAGGAACAAGGCAAGCATGCTCATTCATACCATTTTATTCAACATAGAACATAATGCCATAATTTCAAGCCAATGCAATACGGCAAGAAAATAAAAGGTGTACAGATTAGACAGGAAGGAATATAACTAACCCTGTTTGTGGATGACATAAGTATCTATGTGGAAAATCCCCAAGAATCTTTAAAAAATAAATAGAACAAAATAAGCCTCTTAGATAGTGAGTTCAGCAAGGTTGTAGGATACAAGATATACAAAATTTAATTGTATTTCTTGTGTATTAATAGCGAGCTGTATAGTAACAGTAATACAGCTAGTGCTCGACTTATGACCATGGTTGGGACTGCGGACTGGTTGTAACACGATTTGGTTGTAAGTTGAGTAGGCTATATGTACAGTTGAAATGGTGCATGCAGAGATGGTAGTGCTGCCAGAAGCTGGTCCGCACTGTCGTACACCCAGCTGGGCAACGTTTGCGCTGCCAGACACGGAGGAGTCGTGGCTAGTGATTGTGGTCGTAAAGTCGAATGGTCGTAAGTTGCATAGGTGGTAAGTCGATCAATACCTGTACTGCATATTAACAGTGAGCACATGGACACTGAAATTAAAAATCGCTTAAAAAGATATTTAAGTGGACCAGGCGTGCTGGCTCATGCTTGTAATCCCAGCACTTTGGGAGGCCAAAGTGGGCAGATCATGAGGCCAAGAGATCAAGACAATCCTGGTCAACATGGTGAAACCCTGTCTCTACTAAAAATACAAAAATTAGCTGAGTGTGGTGGCACGGGCCTGTCGTCCCAGCTACTCAGGAGGCTGAGGCAGGAGAATCACTTGAACCTGGGAGGCAGAGGTTGCAGTCAGCTGAGATCTTGCCACTGCACTCCAGCCTGGCTACAGAGTGAGACTCCATCTCAAAAAAATTTAAAAAAGATATGTAAGCGTAAATCTAACAAAACATGTATAGAATCATACACTGAAAACCACTTAACAAAGATGAAATAAATAAATTTAAATCAATTGGAAGATTCAATGTAGGAAATACGTCAATTTCCCCCCAGTTACTATCTGGGCTTGGGCTGGGCGTGGTGGCTCATGCCTGTAATCCCGGCACTTTGGGAGGCCAAGGTGGGCAGATCGCCTGAGGTCTGGAGGTGGAAACCAGCCTGGCCAACATGGCAAAACCCCATCTCTACTAAAAATACAAAAAAAATTTAGCTGGGTGTGATGGCAGGCACTTGTAATCCCAGCTACTCAGAAGGCTGACGCAGGAGAATTGCTTGAACCTGGGAGGCAGAAGTTTCAGTGAGCAGTGGTCATACCATTGCACTCCTGGAAAACAAGAGCGAAAATTCTATCTTAAAAAAGAAAATGTGGGTTTTATCCAATTCCTATGAAAATCCCAGCAAGATTTTTTTCTGTAGACAATGACAGTTTTATTCTAAAATATATATGGAGACCAGGCATGGTGGTTCACGCCTGTACACCCAGTACTTTGGAAAGGCTGAGGTGGACGGATCACTTGAGGCTAAGAATTTGAGACCAGCCTGGCCAACATGGCAAAACCTGGTTTCTACTAAAAATACAAAAATTAGCTGGGCATAGTGGCGTGCACTTGATTATAATCCCAGCTATCTGGGAGGCTGAAGCACAAGAATCACTTGAACCCAGGAGGTGGAGGTCACAGTGAGCCAAGATCATGCTACCACACTCTAGCCTGGGTGATAGAGCAAGACCTTGTCTCAAAAAAAAAAAAAAATGTATATGGAAAAACAAATAATTTTGAAAAATAAGAATTAAGTAGGAGGAATCAGTATTTTGATTTCCAGACTGATAACCACAGTAATCAAGACTTGGTGATTGGTGGAAAGAGATCAGTGGAACAAAGGGAGAATCCAGAAATAGACACAAATGTGCCCAACTGATTTTTGACAAAAGTCATAAGGAATTAAGTGAAGAAAAGACAGCTTTTTCAACAAATGTTGGAACAATTGGGCATCTATAGACAAAAATAATCAACCTCAACCCAAGTCTCATATCTTATACTAGAAGTAACTGAAAATGGGTCATGCAATCAAATGTAAAAATAAAATTATAAAACATTTAGAAAAAAACAGAGATCTAGGGCTAAGCAGAGTTCTTAGATCAACACCAAAAGTGTAGGAGCAAAAATGTCTAAGTTGGACTTCATCAACATTGAAACCTTCTACTCTATGAATGACCCTTTTGAAAGTATAAAAAGATAAACTATAGACTGTGAGAAAATATTTGCAAGCCACATATTCAACAAAACCATGTACTATATATGATTTGTCTTTTATGCTAAAGTTAAAATTGTTTTATTATTTGTTGAGTGTCTCTGTTTCTAATTTACACTCAAACTTCCCAGGAGAACTGAAAATCTCTGAATACAATCCCACCCGTCAAGCATTGTCAACTTCATTTTCTTCTTAAAGACTTTTCCACCGAGCCTGTTTCCTGCTTCAGTCTAGACTAGTCAGCCTATAGGCAGTCTGTATATTTATCATGCTAGGACATCCTTTTCCCACTTTCTTAGAACTTCCTCTATCTCTTTTTCTGTGTTAGATCCCATCTTCTCTTTTATCCTTTTTTTCCATCTTCCCTCACTTCAGGGAAGAAGTAACTCTTCCAGTACTTTCCTGGCTAAAGTTAAAAGGACTGAAACAGCACAAGCCAGGATGTGGAGTAATGGGACCCTCAAACAGTGCTGGTGAGTGTGTAAATTGGTGCAGCCACTTTGGAAAGTGGTTATGTATTCTCTACTAAAGTTGAAAATTCCCAGGAACCCAGCAGCTCCAATCAGTAGGCATTTTGTACCCAAAAGAAATATGCACATGTATGTGCCAGCAGGCAAGTACAGCATATCAAAGTGGCATTAATCTCATTGCAAAAAAAAATAGCAAAAAGCCAGATGTCCCCTGGCAAGAGAATAAATATGTAAATGGCAGCATATTCATGCAATGTAATATACAACAGTGAACATGATCAACTATATTTATATGCAGTGAGGTAGATGAATCTTGTAATTTTGAATGAAAGAAGCCAAATACTAAAAATACTATATGATTCTATTTATATCAAGTTAGAAAACCAGGTGAAACTATACTATAGTGGTAAATGTTTAAAGGTGGAAGCCTAGAAATGATTACTTAAAAGGTAAGGACTGTGTTTAGCTCTTGGTGCAGCGAGGGGGTGGAATGATAGGGAACGAGGTGTGGAAGGCCTTCTAGGAAGATGGCCATGGTCTCATGGATGCTCACCTAATGGTAAGTTACTGAACTGAATGTGTTTGTTCTGTGCACTTTTTGTGTGTGTGTGTGTTATATTTCACAATATGAGTGAAAATGAGCAAAGATGAAAGCAAACCCAAAATTAGATACTATTATATTAATTACTGCATGGACAAAAAGTCAACATTAGCAAGCATTGGTGAGGATGTGGGTTAGCCTGAACTCACACCCTATTGGTGGGAGTCTAATTTGTTTGCGTATTTAAAAAACTGTTTAACCTAGTAATGTTGCGTGTGCATGTACCATAGGGCAGAACAGTTCTGTGGGTGTGCCCCATGGGTCTCCTGCTGGGGCTGGAAAGCTGGCATCTCCCTGGAACCTGTTCTTTTCCTGCTGGATATTGGCAGTTGCAGGGAGAAAGTGCAGAAACATGAAGCCTGTTGAGGCCTTAAGTTCAGAACCTGCAAGCTGTCACTTCTACCCACATTGTACCGCCGAAAGCCAGTTGCAAAGCCCACCTGACATGGGGCAGGGGGTGGCAGGGGCTAAATCTTAAGCTAACCGAAGAAAGTGGAAGCTGAGCTCCTCGGTTGAATACCAGCACATTTCTTGGCTCTGCAGATGCCGTATTACCCCTGCCCCAGTATTTTGGAGAGGCGACACGTTGATACCTGGAGGTTTTGTAAGTGTTGTCTCAGCCTCGACAATATTTCATGCAATGAAAAATTCCTTGTTACATTTATGAATGGCCAATATTTGTCTGAAAAGTATTTGCACTTTGAGTTGGCTGCTGTAAACATATATATGTTGGAAAGTGGGACACTTTTTTTTTTTTTTTTTTTGAAACAGAGTCTTACTCTGTCACCCAGGCTATAGTACAGGGGTGCAATCTTGGCTCACTGCAAACTTCACCTCCCAGGTTCAAGCAATTCTCCTGCCTCAGCCTCCCAAGTAGCTTGGATTACAGGCGCCTGCCACCGCATCGGGCTAATTTTTGTATATTTAGTAGGGATGGGGTTTCACCATCTTGGCCATGCTGGTCTTGGACTCTTAACCTGTGATCTGCCCATCTCAGCCTCCCAAAATGTTGGGATTACAGGCATGAGCTATCACACCCAGCTGGGCACTTCTTAATCTAAGGAACATAACTTGTTTCATGTTCAGTGTGATTTTGAATAAAGTTGCATAGATTTTACTGATTTTTAGTAGTTTTACCTCTAGGACTTTATTGTTTTTTATTTATGTATTTTTAAGACAGGTTCTCACTATGTTGCCCAGCCAGGCTGGTCTCAGGCTCCTGGGCTCAAGTGATCCTCCT